ATGCGTTGAGATTGGGAATGCATGCTCACCGGAACAACATCATTGGATCGACCAGCATAATCGCGGTGAAAGAAAAGACACTGGTCTGCCATTGCGGTTCGTGCGCCGCTCGAATCGACGTATGGGAAGGCATATCAGTTTTCCGCGCGCCGCAGCGCTTAGAGGAGCCAACGAGAGTGCGGCACAGCAAGCCACAACCCGGCGCAGCACCCCTTCTCAGATTAGAATCTGCAATTCACCCGCATTAACCGCCTAGTCTGAGGGCTCACTCATGCACGCAGAGTAGTCTCGTGCGGAAGTAGGGCATCGCACAGTTGTTGTAGGAGTAGGATGCATTTGTAGTAGAGAATGACAGGGTTTCTATTCCAACGGCGACGTCACTGGCGCTGTAGTCGCATGTCTATACGTGGAGCTTGTGGTGGACATATTGGAAAAAAATGGGCTGCGAAGACTGTAAGAACACACGTACATAGGATCAGTCTGGCGAGGGAGGGGGCAAGAGCGCCTCTGGGCCACACCATGATACGTAGGAAGGACAAAGAATGGCGTCTACTTCTGGTCACCCACGAAGCGCTTTGTCCAGACATATTTGCTGACATGAAAACACTAAAATGACATATTATAGACGCGAAACATCGAGTAAGAACGATGATACCCAACACGTCCTTCACACCCCCAAAAAAGACCCCAACAACAAGCACATCCTGATGTAGAGCGACTTTGCCGTAGACGTACAGTTTCTGTTGAAAATATGTCCGAAAGCGTCGAAAATATGGGCAGCTCACCTATATCGCCTTCCCAATCCGAACTGACCGCGCTTCTGCGCTACCTGCTGGCAGATGACCCACTACCCCACACTCGAAACTGACCTTACAGATTACAACAGAGAATTCCAGTGATTGGCCGTTCATCGTTCGACACAACACCCGCTTCACCGTTCGGCCCGGGGCTAGATAGGACACTGCCGGCCCTTTGAGTTGAGGCAGGTACCGACCGTAGCTTCAACTCATCATTGCCCTTGCATACGATGGATTCACACAGTATGCGGGCTTTCTGTATGAGGTTTGACAACCATCAGAATGATGGTTGGGCACGCGCGCATCTCCAATCTTCCACTGAGCCCCAGACATGCGCTGAGCATGATGCAGCAAGGCCCAAGCTCTTGCATGATTCGAATCGAGATATGATCGAATCGAACGCATCACACCAATCTTGACTGGCTGCGTAAGTCTGTGCCCCGCCCAAGTCCAAGGCCTCCAGGTAGGAGGCAGCATCTGCACATGAAGCCTCTGTACATGGGTCGACTTGCTACACACCACTAGCTTGAGCTGTATTGGCGATCAGTACCTCGCGCGACATGCGGTGTAGATTTCGTGTCGCACCTTCATTGAGCCATGATGACTTCTTCGATGCATCCTGCAACATCATCATCCAACTCCCCGCTAGCGATAGCTTCCGCTGTGATTGCCGGGATTGCCGCGCACCCGTTTCGTCACGCCTTCGTAGACGGCGTCTACCCCTCAACGAGGTAATGATCCTGCGCTCTTCCTTCCCCTCTAGCGTGTAGTACGGATCGTCTGATCAACATCTCCTCGCTTGCAGGAAGGCGGTCGATAGACGCATCACTGACGAAAGGACAAAGCCCTTGCGTAGACGTTTGCAAAGACGTTCCATGCTACGCATGCAGGCGGGCAGTCGACCGTTCGGCGGCCCGAGCAGAGTTGGTGGAGGAATGCCGGTAGTGGCTGCCAGTCGTAGTGGTCCAGTCAGCCGTGTGGTCTTCCAGACCTTCCAGCTTATCAACGCTAGGAAGTGGACTGTGCGACTCCAAGTTTCTAGCCTTCCAGAACAATGATATCTGCTAAGCTGTGAATTGGAGCTTAACAATAGAACCAACAATTTTTCTCGAGGTGCGATGACGTTCACTGTCCCTTGTTGCTGCAATGGATGGCTCATGTGTGTATGGGCAGGCGTGCATGCGACACCGCCTGCTTCGCCTCCACACCTCCTCGTCCTCAATCGTAAGGTCCAACACACCACCTCAGCTTGCAGCACGCCAACAGTGCTATTATTACCACCGCATGACGACTATTGTGATACAATACGTTGAGATGATGCTGATGGAGGTGGAAATGACCATGAGCTGGGAGACGTTTCTTGGACACTGAAGGACGTTTGCGTGCCGACGGGTAGTCCAGTGATCGGTGTGGTCGATTATGTGCCGCTTCCCGGCATGAGAGTTGTGCTGTGATCGAACGATAGATTCGGGCGCATCGATGTTGCGATGATTCGCTGCGTTCACGTTTCGGGGCAGGCCCATGTTGTCCTTCGCTCAGCCGCGATGGCACTTTGGCTACGCAATATAGAGGACTTGACGCTACGAAAATTCGGAAGATACACTGTGCAACGATGACCTCCTGAGTGTTAGGCCTAAAACCTAAAGACGGATTCCAGGAATGCCACAGCCTTCCCTAGAGCCATTCAACTGATGACGAACTCTGTATCCATGTAGCTTGATCTGTCTTGGAGGAATTCCCCCTCCATTATTCCTTCCACGTAAGCAGCATCGACAATGATGTACGTTCCATCATTCTGTGGTCTTAAAACCAGTGGTAGGAAACATCCAAAAAGGATACACAATACATCACCGCTTTGAACTTCCATACCCGCAGATGCAACATAGCCGCTTGTCGTGGTGAAAAGACACCCTTTCCAACGTGGGTATATACTAAAGATGCTTATCATGTGACGGTATAATGACTTCGCAATGCTGAATTCTGGATCCTCGGCCAGACCCCTCTTTTCTTGAGAAAGCATATGTCGCCAGGTGTCGAGCGCTGAATACCGCTGTAGGACTGTCCATTCATCCACGACAGCTTTGGGCATCGGTTGCTTGATGCGCGACTTCAGGTTGTCCATACTCCGTCCATCTAAAGCGACACGCCAGACGTCCCCTCTTTCCACCTTTGCGTTGACCTCGTCTGGCGAGAAGCGCTTACTCCATGCTTTTCGAGCGATATGAGTAAAGTCTTGTAGTGTCTGTAAAAGCCAGGGCACAAATGCATTCAGGTGCTGACGGAGGAAGCGCATGTAAAACATACCATTGTGCTCATCCTCGGCCAATTCGCTGTAGCAATCGGTAAAAATTGTCTGGGATTCTGCGACCGGTCCAACGATGGCGCCAGTAATCTTGATAGTACCCGCCTGCGCGTCATGTTGAACGCCAGAAAAACTGCGTCCAGTGCTTGCGCCTTCCTGCACTAGGTCGTAGCGGCGAAACAGACCGTACTTGAGGCGGGTGGACAGCAGGAGTGTACGCTCCGTGAAATCGTGGGCCCAAGAAGGCTTCTCAGTGAAATTCACTTCAGATCGCCGTACCACAATGTTCAACAAGAATTCCAGGTCTTTCCGCTCTTTCATAACTTCGACGACGGCTTTCTGGAATGCCCACGTAGATTTCTGCGTATAATCAGGCTCGAAAGGTTCGAGTGGTTGTCTTTTCACGAGACCAAGAAGAGCATATACGAGATCCCGGGGATCGGACGCCGATCTTCCATATGACGCGTATATAAGATCCTCCAAAGGTATCGTCCCAGAGAGCCGGTAACGCTGGTAAACTCGTGCGAACTTTGAAACTGGAAGTTCATAAGGTCTCTCGGGATGACGAACTTGACCTAACAAGTTCACACGTTCCACTAGGTCGAAAAGACTTGCCCACGAGATCTCTCGAGACCCCCAGAGTACGAGCGAGTGTTCGTTGGCTACTACACCTTCTTGAATAGTCCAAACACGTTTCCACCACTTACAGTCGAATAAAGGTTCCGTTCTAACTTTAAATCTGATCTCTTCCTTCTCGATACCCTCAAAGCCCTGGTTTTGCAAGCGTTCTAGATAATCCATAACGTGATTTATCGCTTCAATCGACTCTTCGTCACTCATCCAGAGTTTCTGATCATTGGAATCCCTCGTACGCGAGGGTACCTTTGTACCCAGCCAGATAAGCACCCTTGACGCTGACGAATAGATTTGATGCATCTTTCGGACTTGCTGAGACTTCTCTTTTGGACTGCTTTGGTCGATACACACCGCATCTATCCACAAATCTCGTGTTCGATCTGTATATCGTACGCGTCTCAGAACGGAAGCGAGGTTGAAGGTTATCACCAATTCGTTATCATTGACCTCGAGCAATTCTTCTCCTGGTCTCTCCGCCCAAACATACGAAATTGTTTCATAGACTGGCGGAGTTGGCAAGAACTGTGCGGTGTGGAGCTTGCCTCGCAATGGCGCATTATGATCGGATGCTGGAAACAGATGGAAAACGCGTATTTGTGAAAGGCCATCGTCGAGCGCCTGATAACGAAATGTATGCGCCATATCGCCGGTCTGGAAGTCACCTCGCGCACCGTGGACATGCGGGAGGCGTGTGGATGGTGGTGCGAATGTATCCTCTGCAACATACATGGGACCCCGCTTTCATTGGATGAGACGGCGCTAACCAGAATGGGACGAGATCCACTACACGTCCAGTCGCTATTACCATACCTTAGTATATGTACACCACGCATGGACACTCACATTCACGCAAGCAACCGAGAGAAGAGTACCGAGTCTGATACATAGGCATACAACGTTAAGTTCGTCGAAGAAAGACTCCGGAAGTCAGACAATTTGAGTCTACATGAACTTTGAGCAGGGCGACATCATCACCTCCGACTTGTTTGTATACTTCAAGCTAATCTTGAGATCACACCTCAACAAGCCTTTGAATACATGTATGCTGTTGAATCCTGTGATAGCTTATGTAGATTGTTCGCATGTTCGTCAACATCCTCCACGCTACCGTGACGAGAGTCAGTCGTAGTCACTCCCACGCAATGTCACTTCCACACAGTCACATACACACATTCACACCAAAAGACTCACCACCATGATCAAAACCACTGCGCGCGCTACCATGTATTCTTTATTACCAATATACCCTTCTTCGGATACTGCACATGCCCCGGACAGCGTCCACAATACCAAACGCTTGCATTGAGCAAACTGCTGTCGTCAAGAAGTCCACATTGAGCAAGGAGGACGAGGCAAAGGTAGAGCAATTGTCGGAGCGGATTACCGGTGAGTTTACTGGCCGCTTTCTATATCGAATTCCTACTAACGTACACGTCTGCAGACATTCTCGGCGAAGCTCCGTTCGACGAAAATGAAGAGTCGCCATGGCCTCAAGAAGAATACGAGGTTGGAGTCAAGGGGAAGGACGGCCAAAACATCGCTGTAGTCTACATCGTGGGCGGCACAAAGAAGGAAAAGCGGAGAGGTCCGGTTGCGCCGGACGTAGTGACCGCCTACGAAGAACTATTCAAGGAGATCGAAGCCGAGAAGTCTTCCAAACAGCAACGTCATACTGTGTAGTTTGTGGCTACAACAAGCCGATATGTTGGGAAGGCGAGTTCGCATGGTAGACTTTGTTGCTACAACGAGGGAACAGTTCGCGAGGGCGAGTTTGTGCGGTGGGCTTTACGGCGACAAGGAGGTGAAGGGAGGGGACATCACACGCTGCTGAAGCATGGAGACGAATTCGAAGCTTGATAGCGACTCGATAGACTGGGTGATGCTACGATGTATCTGTCAACCTCAATGTTAACTCATCCTACGAGCGGTCATAGTGACTCACCGGCTTCAAACGGTGACTCGGTATTTCGTGAAGCTGCTTGCTTGGGCGCCATTATGGCTTGCGCCGCGTCTGAGTCGCAACAATAGCGTCATGACTTCGCAGTCAAAGATTTGTACTACCATCGTCCCCGCCCTCTGCCTCGATCGCGCCAGTCATCTCCACCTCCTCGTCCCCCTCTGCCCCCTCTTCCAAAACCTAGCTCTCGATCTGGTGGCGCTTCGCCTCTCCTCCATTCACCAAAAGGCACGCCGCCTCCACTTAATCTCCGATCGTCGAATCTGCTTCCACCTCTACCACCTCTTCCGAAGCCGCCATAGTCTCCCCGTCCACCGAAACCGTTCTCACGTGGCCGTCCGCCATATGGTCCTGAAGGCGGTCCTCTACCCGGTCCAGAGAGCGGCGGAGGTGCAGCTGGTACACTGCCATCGGGTAGCGGCGGGAGGATGGCGCATGCCACATAGTCGCCTATCATAAATCTGACGTCCCCCAGTGTCTTGTCTGCGTCGCCGTCCAGCTGCTTGAGAGCCTCTGTGACACTTCCTCCCTCAACACCCTCCATATCAATGTCCTCATCTCTTGGTCGCGCACCCACAATGACGGAGCCTATGTCGCGTGATATGAATCGCCCTGGCGCGCCTGGTCGGTTGGAGCCTTGTATGTCTGGGTATACGAGTCGAAATGCGATGCGCGATCCAGCGTACGGTTGTGGTAGTAATGTTGGTACTGCGCTCAGGAGTAGTGTGCATAGCTCGCGCAGACTACAGCTCTGCCATGTGTAGATTTGGACGTTGGTTGGGAGACGTGGTAGTGTTGGGTCAAATTCGTCCAGTCTTTGAGCTATCAGTACGTGTTTATTTCATACAATCTTGAGACTAGGAGCAATGCGCACCTATGGAACGAGTTCTGCTTGAAGAAAAGGCGCAACAGGAAGGGCGTCGTTGTTTGACGGTCAATCTTCGCGGGAGCCGCCATTGTGAGGTCTGCAGCCTTGTGGACTATCAGGCTAGTCAATGTATGAAGATTTTTCGAAATTCGCAGGCACGTAGCGATAATTCGCTAGGAAAGTCGTGAGGAGGTGACGTCAGGCGCAAGATGTGAATGTGTTTGGAGAGTTTGGGGAGGAAGGAACGCGACCGGGACGCGGAGAGCTCCCACTAGCGCCTTCCTCGGCACGTACCTTCCACTGGAAGGCGCAGGTGAGCCTCCACGTCGCAAACAACACTGACTCATCTTCAACACGTCGACTCACTTTAGACCCCGAACATCACAGTCGCCAACATGGATTTCGCAAAGTTGATGTCCGCACATATCAAAAAGGGCAAAGACACAGCCTCACCAGCCGAACCGACCGAGAAAAAGTACCTAAAGCGCAGCGAAATCGAAGCGCAACGGCAAGCCGCATACGTCGCCGAACAAGAAGCCGCGGAGAAGGCACGGCGAGAACGTCACGAGAAGAAGCGCAAAGCCGAAGAAGATGAAGCCGAGAGGGAAGCCGAGCGCCGGGAAAAGCGCATGCGCATGGCCGAGGAATCAAGACGCATAAGGGAAGAAGAGGAAGAGGCAGAAGAAAGACAGCGGCGAAAGCGGCTAGGACTTCCTGATCTTCCACCTAAGAAGAAGGACGGCGAGGGAGATGGCACACCGGTCCCCGAAGACGAAGACATCGAGGACGAAGAGCTCGTCGCAAAGCTGAGAGCCCTCGATGAGCCAGCGCGGCTATTCGGCGAGACACACAAACAACGCCTGAAGCGATACAAGAAGCGCGTCGGTGCAGATAGCCTAGCAGCCATCATGACGGACGGTCCGATACCCACAACACTACAACTCGTGCCGGAGAAGGACATGAAGGTCAGCCCCCAGGTACCCAAGGACAAGGAGGGTCGCGAGTTTCTGTTCAGACAGTTGGCGAGCTACTTCACCATGGTGCTGAAAGAATGGGACCTCACGCTCCTACGTCGAGACCCCGAAGTCAAAGAGAGCTACCAAGGAAAACAAGCCTACGCAGCCATGGTACAAGCGCGCGAGAACATGCGACCACTGTTCAAGAAGCTAGAGAAGTCTGATCTTCCAGACAGTATCGTCGAGCCCGTTGTGGAGATTGTGCACGCTGCACAGGAGCGAAGATACGTCGATGCGAACGATGGTTATCTACGTCTCAGTATCGGCAAGGCGGCGTGGCCCATTGGTGTTACCATGGTGGGTATCCACGAGAGAAGTGCGCGAGAAAAGCTGCACGAGAGCGATAAAAATGCGGCGCATATCATGAGCGACGAGATGACGCGGAAGTATCTGCAGAGTATCAAGCGATGTTTGAGCTTTGCGCAGACGAGGTGGCCGCCTACAGATCAGCTGCAGCTTATGGGCTAATCGAGTTGATGGATGAGCGACGATTTGTAGGTAATCGAATCACTGGTTACATACCACTGCTTTACACCATGATGGCATCCTCACGTACCTTGATCTTCGTAATGCGGCTGTCGAACTCGAACTTCTCCACTTCACCACGAAGTTTCGTATCTTCCTGTTCCTGTTGCGCACTCCCGGCTCGCAGACCGTCCAGCTGAGCGTCTGTGTCTTTGCCCCGTTTGCGTTTGTGGAGGAGAAGGGAACATGCCTGATCCGGGCTTAGCATCATAACGTAGATGGCTGTGAAGACATGATGCATGCGTAGCTGTTGCTTGCCTTGTTGTCGGCCTCTTTCGCCGTCTCCTTCTCTCCCTTCGGTATGATCTCAGCCACCAGGACTTAGGAAGTCTTATCAGGGGATGCGGAGGCACTTGTGATCGGGGTCGCGCCGTTGCACCGGGTTTCTGAAAAGAGGCACACATATCCTACTTGTGTAAGCTTAGGACTAATCGCTTCTTGTACAGCGCAATGCTGGATATTATACAAAAACTCGTACATGGAAGTAAGGAAATGAAATGAATGACAAGTTTGGAGAATACATTTGCTTCCAACTTCTATCCTGTATCCTCCAGTATTGATTGACGCGAAGCTATCGTGTCAAACTCCCATCTTTTGTCGAACCTACGAAGGATGACTTTTCACGAACACCTTGACTTCTTTCAACAGATCCTTGTAAGCCCTGTCTTCAGATTTCACCCAGCCACCACCCTGCACAATCTGAATGCCTTTGTCCTTTCGCTTCACCACTGCTTGATACGGCCGGGATGACCCTAGTCTCGACTCCATCTTTATACCATAATAGTCGCGCCTCTTCCATTCTAGTAATTCGCCTGTATAGTGGTCAACACACACTCTCACAACGACCTGTGAACGCATACTCAGAATCTCCTCTCTTTGTAACAATCTCTTATAATATACTTTGTCCTTGTTTTGCTGGGGTGCTCGGAGCGGTGCCACGCTTTCGCCAAGATACTGTTTCTCAATCGCTCTATCAAGACGATAAAACGCTAATTCCGGGGTCTCGCGATGGCCCCCTTGGTTGCTGAAAAGCTCCTTGTTGTCACGATCATCTCAGACAGTGGCGATGAACTCGTAGAACGCGTGAGGGTGTGTGTCCAGGACAATCTCTGCGCGGTAGTTGTTCTCCGAGGTCCCCGGGGGCCACACCTTTGCCACAGCTAAGTGAGGGTTCAGTAGCTGTAATATCCTTTTCATTTGCAACACTCACTTCCTTTCAATTTATTTAACTCACGTAACTCATCAGGCTGTCTCAAAATCTTGGTCTCGGCACCAAACGTCGGTACGCCTCGAGCTTCAGAAATGAGGCGTACCTCCCACTCGTCGCTATTGGAAGATATTTGTTCCAATTTCACGGCCGGTGCGGGTATTCTTAATTTGGTCGCGTTCTTGATCCTGCACTCGTTGACCTGCTCCACGACCTTTTCGATGGATATCTCGGTGGAAGAGACTGACTCTTGTGTCTCAGTCGCTTGCGGGATCTCCACCGGAGAACTTTCGAGTCCTGGTGTCGCGAACGTAACGGAAGGTGTAGGTACTTTTCCCCTGCGTGCTTTTATATTCGGAGCACTAGAGCTCGGAACATCTGCGTTGTCCGTGATTACGGTCACAACGAGTTTGTCGTCGTTTTCTGGCATTGCGACGCGATGGCTGGCAGTAGATGTTTAGTATCAGCCTCGTTGCATAGTCAGTTTTTGGTGGTAAAGCAGAAGATTTAGAGCAGTCCGTTTTCGCGTTTTATACTGACACTGACTCTTCTCAAGAGCTGTCGCTGGTAATGACTTCCCATTTGTGCAACGAGAGCCGTTCATAGTCATATAATTGATTCATACGTGACTCCAGGTAACTTTTCTTGCTTTCAAAGACTCGACGCAGCGATCACCGTCGATATGAGTATACAATTCAGATAGATGCGGGCAAGGAAGTGTCTTTGGCGAGTCCGCAGTTTGTGTAACATGAAGTACATGACTCAGAGGCGGTGACTTCTGCTACTTGGTCAGAGCCGAACACGTCGTCACTGAGACCTCGTTGCGATCACCATTAATGCCCGTTGGTATCCTGCCATCCGCAATAGATGCGTCGCGCGTAAGCAATACTCACGCGAACAAGAGTGCACACCGTATACACACCTCCTATGGCTTCTGATCGACTAGATTTACGAAGAACTTAGAAATGGATCGGACAGACACTGCCTTGTATGGTAATCTCAGTGCCTTCCGCCTCTTCGATCAAACCTGTCTATGAAGACCTTCCAATGATCCTTCGCCGGCTCAATCTCACATCTAAGAAGTCTTCAAGTAGTCTCGCCACTTCTTTGCATGGACCTGAAATGAGGCGAAGCGCTCATAGGCCGGCCCCGAGCGCAAACGGGAACATCTACGCTGGCTTTAATCCTGTAAGTAATGGATTAGATGAAACATACGATACATTGTAATACAGCGACGTCTAGCAATAGTTGAAGAAATGCATATTGACATCAAGTAGCTGTCTCAATTCCAGTCCAACATTAGATTATAATGATGATCCAACCCCAGGACCTGCTGAAAGGCCCTCCTTTCCCCCGGCCAATGTAAGTTACTACTGCTTCCTTCGTCTATGACCTGTTGCCGGCTCCACATGGAGGCCGAGCGGAAGCTTTATCTTCGGCTGATAGACTTTATTAATTTGCCTGCTCAACCAAATCTGGGCACTTACTACGGGTTCATATTTATCGTTCTCAAGGATGTCCATTTCCGTTTCTATCCATGTTCGAACGTATCTCCATGCATCAATTTCTGTTGGGCAGTATTCCCGATGAACATCAGTCACTTGCGGTCTTCCCCTCGGGGCACGCGTGATGATGCCAGCCCATGACCTTCCTGTGCGATGGGACTCTCGCACTTCGGATTTGTATGTGTATTTGTATTTGCGTTTAGCGGGACCATTTGCACGTTTCTCCAACTCCTTCTCGTAGTCTTCGACTTCACATCGTACCCTCAGGATGTTCATAAATTTGACCAACTCAATTATAGCCTCGTGTTCACCCACTTCGATGTATCTGGATTTGAATTCTTCATTTCGGTAATCGAGAACGGTGTTCGTAGTATCAACAACCATGGCAATGAATCCGACGTCAGGCTGGTGGCGTCGCTCGATGCGTACGGAGAATCCAGGTAGAGGTAGCGAGCCAAAAAACCGTGTAAGTAGAACTACTCTGATCAGCTTCATGATTTGTACAAAGTATCTGAGAACCTCACTCGACAAATCTCTAAACTCGTCAGGATATTTCTTAGATTTAACCAGGTAAGCACCGTCCGTGGATCGTTGCAGTTCGTCCTGCATCCAACGCAAGATGAATTCGCTGGCGGCGGTCTCGTTGTCCAAATCCTGGACAGTTCCCTTCGAACAGCTGGTTCCCCTCTGATCTCCGCCTATAATCTCTGCCTCCCAGCCTCTCTTGGTCGGTGCGATTGTCATTTCATAGTGAATGCCTTGTGGCAAGTTTCTCAGTGAATCGCGACAGAGGCTGGCCTGGTTCATGTTGTCCTCGACGTGAAGCACATCAAGCAATCCTCTCATAGCTAAATCTCGACCCATCTTTAAGATTTCTGCTCTGTCCTCGAAGATTGTCTCGCGGCTGCTGTCGACGACATCGGCGTGGAACATGTTTTCGTGGGGATGGTACGGCCGGATACGAACAGTATAAGTGCCGGTGCGTAAAGGGAGTCCTCGGACAAGAGCTGCGACTCGTTAGCTGAGCAGTCCTTGTCCGGGTAGGAGGGGATCTACTTCTCATTTCAGCCGCTTCATCGGGGTAAGCTACCTCGAGGGTAGAAGGGTCGAAGTTCACATGGATGTTGTTCCGACGTTCGTCTGCGTCAGTGATGATGTGTGCATCCATATCGACGATTCAAATTCTGGGAATATCGGTTGCCGCTCAAAGACCTGCGCTTGGGAATGTGTAGGAATCGTCAACTAAGCGTTCGCCTTTGGAAGTGGTATGCGGGTTGCATGGAGCGAGCCTCGCGAATGATGAAGTTGTGCATACTGCATCGTGACTCCGAAGCCAAACCCGTAGTTCTCGAGACCCTCTGGGCGCTATGTTGTCATCGTTTCGAATCACTCATGTATGCGATAGTGACTATATGCTATGTATGGCGAATGTGAAGGAAGAACGATTGATGCGTCATGTCCGTATGTGTCGATTGATGCTCTGTCGGTGGTAATACTAAACCGTGCGTCGCATGACTCCACGTTGACTGTTTCTGCATATGACTGAGTCGAAAACAAGAGGCGACACCACCCGTCTCGCAACATCTTTTCCAAGTCCTCAGATAGCTGCTTTCCGTCAACATGTCATGTGTGCGTCGGTGTCTACCCAAGTAGCCCTTGCCCCATACGAAGGTCCCACAATCAAACCTTCCGAGCGGCCCGAGCGGGCAGGTTGCATGCGACAAGCTTCCCAAGCTTTTTCACGCAATCTCGCCATCCGCGATGCGAGCAACAGAGGGGTCGAAAGAAGAAAATACTGGAGTTAGGATCTGGGTGACTGACGCAAAGTCACAAACTCAGCCGCACCTTCCGCTAACGTTGGGCTTCTTCCTGACAGGCCGGACCCCTCACGATGCAACCTCGCCACACCTTCAGCTCGCCGCCGATGTCCCAAAATAACCACGCAACGACCGCCACGCACCCAATCCGTCGGAGCGATGATTCTTAAGCTTCTACGGCCATCGACCGGCGCGAGATCTATGCGCTCATAGCGGATGCGAAGAGGTAAAGCGCCCGCATCTGGGCGATGGTTTAGGCCTGCGCACGCTCCACCCCGTAAACGGCGTCATACCTCTTCGTGTTCGGTGATGTCGGCTCCAGCTTCACGCTGCAAATTTGCTTAGCATGGTGGTACTTGTACATCACCGTGCTTTAAAGCTCGAGGCTAGGGTAAGCGTGCTTGCTAGGAGCTGAGGGTGAGATGGAATGCTTAAAGTCAGCCTTCGGCCTTGTCACGGCAGGAGCTATAGCCTCGAAACATAGGACAAACAACACCTCCGAAATCAAAGAGAAGGCATCATGGTAGCAACTCATATGTTGAAGGTCTTGTTACCGGTCGCTGCGTTCGCGAGCTATGCTGCGGCAGAGCAATGCGCTGGTGGTGAATGGGATGTCATTGTCGTTGGTAAGCTCACAGATCATCCAAAATCTGACATCAAAGTTGACATCCTCCAGGTTCTGGTCCAGCGGGTATCGTTACAGCGGACCGCATGAGCGAAGCCGGCAAGAAGACTCTACTCCTAGAGCAGGGCGGCCCGTCGTACTACGTGACCGGCGGTCGTGCTCGCCCAGAATGGCTAAATGGAACTGAACTCAGCCGTGTTGATGTTCCCGGGCTGTACAAGTCCATCTTCTCGAATTCCGGTGAAGGAAACTTGACATGCGCGTCTGATGTCGTCAACGCGTTTCAAGGATGCACCGTCGGTGGTAACTCCGCAATCAACGCTGGGTTGTTCTTCCAGCCACCCGCGAGCGATTGGGATCGCTACTTCCCCCAGGGCTGGAAGAATGACGACATGCAATGCGCAATCAACAAGGTCCGAGCGAAACAGCCAAACACAGACAGTCCTTCAAGAGACGGCAAGCGGTACTTGCAGAGCGGTTACGATGCTGCGAAGCAATGGCTCGTTGATGGCGCGGGTTTTGCAGAGGTCGGCCTGAACGATGGCATCGAGAACCACAACAAGACCAAGGTGTTCGGCCACCCGATCTGGTACTACGAGAATGGGCAAAGGAGCGGTCCGGTCAAGACATACCTGCAGTCGGCCCTGGCTCGCTCGAATTTTGCCTTCCAAACTGGCACTAAAGTCTTGCGTGTTCGTCGAGAGGGCGACGTAGCGACTGGCGTCGACGTTCAGACCAACGGTGCCGAGAACTCTTCGAGCATCTGCATCAAAGAAGGCGGCATGGTTATCTCTTCAGCTGGTGCTCTCCTCAGCCCTCAGCTGTTGATGTGGTCTGGTATTGGCGAGGCAGCGACATTGACAAACCTCTCGAAGAACGGTCATGTTACAGTTCCTTCTCAAGACTGGATCAACAACACCGCTGTCGGCAACGGTGTCTTCGATAACCCAAACACCTTCATCGAGCTCCAATCTGATGAGATTGCCTCGTATGCTTACGACTACTCCAACCCACCGCAATCCGACGTCGATCTATACCTCAACGAACGATCTGGTCCTTACACGTTCGCTTCCCAGACGAGCGCCTTCTGGGACTACATCCAGCAAGGCGATGATGTAGTGGGCTGCCAGGGCACCATTGACTCTGCCGGAGCAATGGGCCTCACGCAGAACGGAACCATCACACTCAACGTCTACGGCACCTCTGGTCTCCGATCTGTCGGTCGCGTAAACCTTGATGCCAGAGGCATCGCGCTTCCCTCATCAAACTTCTACGCCGACCCCCGCGATGCGACCGCTATTGCGACGTTCGTCTACAACATCTTCCAAGCTCTGCCGGCTACTCTCAACCCGCTCAACGTTGCAAAGAACTCGACTATCGAGCAGATTGCGACTTATCTGACCACGCCAAGCGCGTTCACACTTGGCAACGTACAACATTGGAGCAGCAGTTGCAGGATGGAGGCCTGCATTGACACGGATACGAAGGTTATCGGGATGCAGAACTTGTTCGTCATTGATGCAAGTATCGTGCCGCCTCTGACCACGAACCCTGTTATGGGTGTCATGATCGCGGCGGAGAGGGCTGTTGAGAGGATATTAGCGTTGAGCAAGTGAGCGCATGGGGTATAGACTTAATTAATTTACGAGTTTCATTTCACCTTCATACAACGCGTTTCCTTCCATGATAACTGCCGAATAGCTATGTCCGGTAACTCCTTGCATACCGGTATGATCCTAGTTTGCATCCTGTGCCATACCGAGTGGGGGCCTAGTTTACGTCATACAACATCTAGTTCTGCAGGACTATATACACTGCCATCACACGTACCCTTCTCGAGCGTTGAACGAACATCTCGATATTTGCTACTTTGTATCACTCCTGAATCCAGCAAGACTCATCATGTCCAAAGATTTCGGTGAAACCCGCGCCTCCAATGGTACTCAACCTTCACTCCAGCCTTTCCCCATCGCCAGTACGCATCTAACACACATCTGACAGGCTTGAATTTTGTCGCCACAGACCGTCACGACACTTACCCATACATCTCCCCGTCCAACTTCAATCTCCAAGGAAAGCACGTCTTGATCACCGGTGCCTCAAAAGGCGTCGGCCGTGCCACAGCCCTCAGTTACGCAAAAGCAGGTGCCTCAGGCATAATAATCGGCGCACGATCCGACCTCTCCACCGTGGTCAAAGACGTCCAAGCCGCAGCCAAATCCGCAGGTCGCTCAGAGCCACAAGTCCTAGCACTAGATCTGGATGTCACCAGCAAAGACAGCGTAGACGCTGCTGCTAAGCTCGTCACCGAGAAGTTCGACGGTCGACTCGACGTCTTGATCAACAACGCGGGCAGTCTCGCCTCTTTCGCCGGCATCCCAGACACCGACCCAGAAGAATGGTGGCGCGACTACGAAGTCAGCGTAAAAGGAAGCTACCTCGTAACCCGCGCATTCTGGCCGCACCTCCTCGCCGGCTCCAAGATCATCATCAATATTACATCCATCGGCGCCGTTATGGTTGTTCCGCAGAGCTCTTCGTACGGGCCCGCCAAACTGGCTTCACTCCGGTTGACCGAGTTCATTGACCACGACCACGGGGAGGGTAAGGATGGTATGCTGGCTATGGCTGTACATCCGGGAGGCATACAGACGGAGTTGGCGCTGGGTATGCCGGGGCACATGCATGAGTGGCTTGTTGATACGCCGGAGTTGGCGGGCGATACGTTGATGTGGTTGGGGGCGCAGAGGAGGGAGTGGCTTGGTGGAAGGTATGTTAGTGCGTGTTGGGATATGGAGGAGTTTAGCGGGAAGAAGGAGGAGGTTCTGGAGAAGGATTTGTTGAAGATGAGGTTGGCTGTTGGTCCGTAGGTGGGAGGAATTGGGAAGGTTCGGTGGCAGAAATCTTCATCTTGTTGTGTGTCGATGTGACTATGTGCCAGATTGGCTTTTTCTCTTCGTCTCAGATGCCTTGCTCCTGTAGTCTGCCATCGTGAACAATGAGCACCGTAGGAAAGGTCTATCAACCTGATACTAGTAAGGTAGGTACAGCGAACCGAGGTGTGGGACTGCAGGAAAAAACTTGAATCTCCGTCGTTCCTTCTTCTCTTATTTCAGAGATCTAGAAGGTACCTCACAGGTATAGCAGCGTTCCAATAGATTACTACGTACGAACGGCACGACGTAGCAAGCCGTGGTGTCGAGCGGTTTTGTTTGGCGCAGGCGTTCTTAGATTGCGAAATGCAGCCATTATATGTCGTGCTTTTAGCTGCATGAGTAGCTGTGGCTCAGAGTCGTCAGAAAGATAGGCCTAAAGGCGCGCAATAATAGTATCCAACGATAATGCGCGCGATGCGCAAACGGCACTGGAAAGGGATAGAGTTTGGGCGAGGGACCGTCGGCACCTCGGGCATGGCCATGCTAGTGAGGGGCACGGCACTCCCCACTACGACACCTTCCGTCCACCAATCCCGCCAGTGACATCATGCATGCTGCTAGAAAACACCATACGAACCCTTTTGGCCAATTCCACCCTGGCATCGGGACAGGGCAACCGCATTACCTGCATTGCCCTCACGCCACGTTCGCGGGTGTGACTGCCGCCCATGTGAGGCGTCCATCCGGACCCTTTGATTGAAGCTGCCAACACTGCATGGTTGGGTCCGCTAGTACCTGTTAATCCGTGTTGCCGGTAGGGATTGCTGCTCAACGAACAGCAATTGTGGGCTCCATCTAGCAATCGTTGATCGGCGGCAGTTTCTGTCTGGGGCTCAGGTATAAGAATCTGCTAGTGCCCCTCTTACTTTTCGCGGTAGGTGCGTCGCTGTTCAGCTTGGAATATATCTGGACTTGTTCTTCACCAATCCCGCCGACTGTATTTCTCAGTCGCCTCCCTAGGATACTTGGAATACAGATCCTACCAGAGTCGAGAAGCCGCGACGATGACGAGCAAGCCTATCTTTGTGGCTACTCATCCGAGGGCCTGCTCGACGGCCTTTGAGCGGGTATGCTTGGCTTCGCCGTATCTCGCCCAATTCTGGGTTCTGACAATCTTCTAGGTGTTCATGACCCGTCACGACACACTGCAATGTGTTCACGAGCCTTTCGGCGATGCCTACTACTTTGGGCCTGAGCGCCTTGCTGAGCGTTATGAGAATGACCCCAAGGCCAGGAAAGAGTCTGGTTACGAGGACAGCACATACAGGACCATCTTTGATCGCATTGCGAGAGAGAACTCCGAGGTTCGTTCACTAATGCTTTTTCATGTTTCTCCTCAGCTTCGTACCATTTCCCCTCACCTTTTCGTTCCTACGCATCCAATCGATATCTTATATTCGCAATCTCGTCATCTTGGCCGCTATTGCGTGTTGTGTGCCTCAGCCATCCGCCCGCCAGTCAGATCCCAATCAACCCCGCCCCTACTGCGATCATCCCACACGTTCTTTCGAGCCTATCCTGCACAATCTCTCGGCCTTTCAAAGCGAGCGCACCAATTTCAATGAGTCCAACACGACCCCTCGGCTTGGGAACCTCAGGAATGTGGTCTTTCACATGCCCGAAATACCACCGAAGCATTCCGCTTCCACCAACTCTTATTGCCTTGACTTCAGCCTTACGACAGCCCATTTGACGAAGACATCGGAGGCGCAAGATGCAGCCTCGTAGAAGAAGTCCATGCTCACCTCTTACAGGGCAAGCGCGCTTTCATCAAAGACATGGCCCAATACTGGATTCCTCCCGTCGGCAAGCCCGCGACCATTGCACCATCTCTATCCAACTACCGCCGCGGCGTAGGAACAAACACCACCGAACTCTCGCCTGTCACCACTCGTAGCGACCCTTCCAAGCCTCCCTACCCATACGACACCAAAGGCGAGCCCAACAACCCGACCGTTATTCCGAAGGACTTGTTGGCAACCTACCACTTCACCTTCCTCATCCGCCACCCGAAATTCTCCATCCCATCTTACTACCGCTGCACCATCCCACCGCTAGACAAAATGACTGGCTTCTACAACTTCCGTGAGGATGAAGCCGGCTACGACGAGCTCCGCCGCCTGTTCGACTACCTGCGCTCTGAGGGCCAAATCGGTCCCAAGTTCGCGGGTCAAAAGGAGGTCGACGCCAACGACCAGGCAAACGGTCACACCGGCGGCGTCGAGATTTGTGTCATTGATGCAGATGATCTACTCGACAACCCATCCGGCATGATTGAGGCATTCTGCAAGACGACAGGAATCGAGTGGGACCCGAACATGCTCGTATGGGACACTGAGAAAGACCAAGACAAGGCCAAGGAGGCGTTCGAGAAGTGGAAGGGTTTCCATGAGGATGCTCTAGACAGTGATCGTCTGAGGGAACGCACACACGTAAGTTTTGACAAGCTATATCATAACAGGATCAGTTGGAAAGAAGACATTTGCTAACAACGAGTAGAAGAAGGAGCCAAAGAGTGACGAACAGCTCTTCGCTGAGTGGAAGGAGAAGTACGGCGAGGAGGGCGCGAAGCAGATTCGAGATACTGTTGCCGCTAATGTTGAGCATTACGAGTACCTGAAGCAGTTTGCTATCAAGCTATAGAGGATTGTAAGGAAGGGAGGACGGACAGAAAGGGTATTTCAAGGCTTCGAATCATTACCAAAGCGTATGGTAGATGATAGACTTAGAAGCATACAATAGGTCGAAATAGCGATAACGAGTTCCATTAGCAAAACACGCATTCGACTGTTATTCGTGTAATTCTCTGCGATGTAGTATGATGTACGCTCCAAAAGCCTTTTCAACCTCTACACCGCCACAGACCTTCACCAGACGTCCACACTCGCCTTGCCATCCAATCTACCCACGCGCTCGCTTGAACGTCAGCTGACCCGTCCACCCTGCATCGCGGATACGTGCTTACGCTTACCACCTTCATCTCGCATCTAGAACCCCGCCACAATACCCATCTGCCCAAATAACAAGAGCCTGTTGCGGTGAGTCTCCCCGCCATCAAATCAATCCAATGCCGTATCGCGGAGAAAGCCGCGCAACGAATGGTTGCACGATAAGAAACATGACATAGCAACATAGCAACAAAGCCGGATCAATGTGACAGACCCCCCATGTGCCCAAAGATCACCGAGTCGGCCGCCCCGCCAACATGGCATGCCGGTTTCCCGATTAGTTTCCCGATCATCTCCTGAGGGTTACAGAAGCGGCGGCCCCGAGAACGTGATTATGTGATTATGGGACGGGGGGCTGTTGATAAGGCTGCTTGTGGTTGCAGATGCGGTCGTTGCGATAGGGGGCGATTAGCCTCGTTCTGGGGTACGGGAAAGGAGAATGGGTGTTTCAGGATGATGAGGTTGTTCTTTGTGTGTGTGGATGAGGCCCGAGGTGGTGGACCTTGGCTTAATATTTAGGAGGAGGTTTGGGGCCATGAAGATAGGCAGCCGAGGGAGGCGAGTGGTGCGAGTGGTGCGACGGTCGATAGAGACGCTGGTAGTATTGTTGACATCAATGGAAGCAGGACGTGACAGCGACCAAAGCACGTCGGTTGTAGTAAAATCGATTCCAACTAGATAATAGTAAGAACAACACAAAAACACAAAAAATCTACTCCGCCATAATATGCCCCAAAGCAATCATGCAACATGTACATCGTCCCCCCAACCTCCCAGATAGTCCCAGTATAATGATAGAAATACACAAAGGTATCAACTCCGCGAAAGAGAAACTCCAAAAGCGCCGAGCCCGGAACACCGACGCTTATCCGTGTGCGTAGAGAATGCGTAGTTTTGCGTGAAAGGACGATAGAGATGAGAACCAAGCCTAAAGACAAGAGGTGATCATACGCGTATTTGACCAAGTTCGATCTCGCGCCTCCGTTCTTCCCGGCTGAGGTTGCGCGAGTGACTGCCTCGTCCCTCTGTACTGGAAGGGCGGTTCTCGCTTCGTCCGCGGCCATATTGTGTCCATTGTTCGCTGAGACTATCGGGTCTGCTGTCTGACCGGTCGCGGCCCCAATCGCCATGTGTTTGTGCGGGCGTGCCCACCAACTCCTGACTGTGCTGGTGCCTTGCCTGTTGTTCCCTGTCTTCTGGCAGGTCTATCCTGAAAGTGGTGTTTATGTCAGGACTCGGTCGCGGGTCTCCTGATTTGAGGAGGAGAGCCATTTGCTGGTTCACGCGGTCGTCTTCGGAGTATAGGGCGGCGGGTGGCTGCGAGGGCGAGCGCATGGCGGTGGGGTACATATTTGGGATGAAGTTGTTGTAGTAGTTTTGGTCGGACCAGAGGTTCTGGCGTGTGTCGGTTTGGCGCTTGGACTTGACTATGCGGCGGTATGTCCAGAGGAGGAGGGAACTGTAGAGGATTGTTCCGGCGGCGCTGATGACGGTGCCGCTTATGGCGGCATTTCCCCAGTGGTAGTTGGGCGAGGAGACGAAGTTGTAGGCTATCGAGATAAGGCCGAGTGCGGAAGATGTGAGCGCAGGTCTACACATATGGTTAGTATTCCGCTGTTGGTGGAGGCATGGAGGCCTTACAGGAAGACGCCGTCGGCTTGGAAGCGCTCATTGCGACAGGCGAAGCAGAGCAGTGCTGTGAACGAGTAGCCGGCTGTAAGGAGCGCGACAACGAAGACGGATAGGACTGCTCGGCTGAACTTGAGCTCGTAGTCTTTTCTGTAGAGGCCGGGCAGTATGAGGTAGCTTCGAGGCGTTAGCATGCTTTCGTCTGGGCCGCCTCGAGACGCATGGCAAGCACTCACCCTCCGAGTATCATCCATGACGCAGCCAGGGCTATAAGGCGCCAGTACCACGGCGTGCCCTCTCTCTTCTCATGGCCCGACTCGCTGATGTTGTGATAGCTCTTGTTGCTAGAGCGCATTGAGTCGGTGGTTCGCGCCTTGCGCGGCGGGGTGCCTGGTTCGCGTCTCGGGTAGTGCCTGGCGTCTCTGCTATGACTCTCGCGCAGTGGGAGCGAGTAAGCAAGAAGACGTCGGCATGCAGAGCAGAAGCGCGTGAATGAATAAACGAGTGACTGTGGCAAACGTCGAGTCTAGTTATTGTCGAATTCCAGAATGCGATATGAGCCTCACTGGCGCCTGGCTCTCTGCTATTCAGCCTGACGCGGTGCAGATCGCTTCGGTCCGTCAAGTGCAGGTGGATAGCCGGGGCGAAGCGGCAGGTGCACGGCGCAATGGTTCCAGCTGGTGGGAAAAACAACAACGAGCGACCAGGACAAGATGCCGTTCGTTCTTATTGAATAGCAACAAGAGCAGAGCAGTAGCGAGCGAAGACGTGGGCTGAACGGGCGGTGGGAGAAGAGGGCGCCAACGTGCTCGTACTTCGCTGAGGCGGAGGACGCCTGCATGCCCGCTCAGCCACTCGACGTCCTGCTGAGCATTGCTGCACCCCTGCCGACATGCCCCCCGTAGATCAAGATGGCAGTGAGCATCTTCAATGCAGTGCATTTGACATCGCAATAAAGACTTGCTTGTTGATCAGCGGCTGGGCCTCTCGTCGCGACCATCGCGACTTCTTCCGACGCTCCAACAACACCATGAATCAAGGCATCCAGCCCGCGACTCCGCTTCTCTTTGTCTCTCCCGCCTGCCCAGGGCGACCCCAGATTCCAGAACGCATCACCTCCAATTCCCAGCCAAGCCCTCTGCCCATGTCTGCTCAATCTCGCTGACCCGCGCCGCACCTTGGGTAGTGCAGCTTACTCTATGAGCCACCGCTTCTTCTCTGATTTGCCTGCTTCCATCCTTCACTTTCCCTTCTGTTGCAGCGCTAGCGAACCTGTGCTCTCCGGTAGAGACTGTTGCCGGTCAGACATGACGTCGTCGCTCCTATCGCAATGGGAAATGTTGCGACCTCATCATTGACCTTTTGTCATGGTGTTGCGAGTTGTTGGCGGTATGAGTCGGGGTCATGGCACGGGCAGTCTGCCTGGGTTGGTGTCTACGCGGTTCCGCCTACAATAGAACAACTCGAACGGCACAGCGTCAGACTATTGATCTTGAGCAGAAGCGCATCGCGTCTAGGCTCTGTTATATTACAGGACGCTCTCTCGCAGATTTGAGAGATTCACACACGTCGCGTATAAGTCGCGTACAGCAACTTTAGGCCTACAGCCCATTGCATAGCCTCGCGCACGTAGTAACCCAGCGCTACATCGTGGCATAGTACAACATCACACGCCACGAGAATGCTGTTCCACGCCGATAGGACACGGCCTGAGCCGACGGTTCAGCCTCCACGATACCCGGATGATGGTGACGGACATGCGCGAATGGGCGTCAACACTGCCTTTTCTGGCAAACATCTTGTGCGCGCTCCCCTCCCCACCTAGGCAGAGTTGATAGATCTGCATATCTCGCAATGAGAACACACTGCACCTTTCGTAACTCAACTTGAATTCATACAATGACGGAGCGTTCCCTAGATTTCCGTTCTACACAACACACGCATGCGTATGTGACAAGATGCGGTATCATTCGCGATGCTGATCCGTGCACCTGGTTCGAGCTGCAGGGGCAGCTTCCAGTGCCTCACATGGGCATGCGTGTCATCGGTAGAACTACACCGCATCTTACCTTACACACCTATCATCTTATCATCTGTGGTTCGTTTTACGATCTCACTGCCTGAAGATTCGGGATCATTTCTTTCGGGGTCTCCACGAAGAGACCCGTCGGCGCTTCGGGTTCAGGGGCAAGACACTTGCGTTGATGTCGGGTAATCCGAAGAAGAGTTGGTATGGAAAAGATGTAATGATTGGAGTAGGCACCGGGCATCGATCTTGTCGCTGTTGTGATGTTGTGGGTGTTTGTCACCGTTTGTGAGTGCCGAGAATTTGGGGCTGGGAATGCAGGTGCCACCGGTCCGGTTCATGCCCCACCTGCACGCGGGAACCACGTCTTCTTTTTCACTCGATAACGTCTGCGTAGACCAGCACAGCTCAGCGTCGGAGGTAGAATCAAACGCACAAATTCATAAATTTGATTGTTGATATTACTTCCATCGATCCACCTACTCAACCATCTGGTTGATCAATCTTCAGTAGTATAGTGGTCAGTATTTCCGCTTGTCACCTATCAGGCAACTCGCGGGAGACCGGGGTTCAATTCCCCGCTGGAGAGCTCATTCTTTTTGGATGTTTTTGCACCTGTATGGAACATAAGAAGGCACGATTGAGGTGAGAGTTGGAGCTTGTGGTTCGCCTCTTCCAAACCTCAACCACTGCAATCCTCCACCATGCCGGTCGCTACACAACGTCGGCCGCCTTTTCTCTTTTTACCATCAACAGTATTATCTGAAGATGTCGTCGGATCCCAGAGTACTTCTGCAGCACACGCGATGTGACCCGGCATGCCACATTTTGCTGCGCCGTGCTGACGAATGCCACTGCATCTGGGCAGCTTCTTCACTCCATCGTCTCCTTTGGCATCCCCTCGTCGGCGCATCGACACACACAAATCCATCCGAACAGTATTGTTGTCACGTTCGGACACGAGGAAGCGTTCTTGAGGTTTCGTAGGTCTCGTCAGCTGCAGCTGGTCTTCCTATATGGAGGAACCTTTGGTCACACACCCAGCATGTAGTTCAAACTGCCGAGCACTCCATGGCATGTCCTCGATACAATGCGGTTTACGTGTCTCTCCGGCGCTAAACGAAGTAATAGCACCTTGAATTCGCCCTAGTTCTAAACCGATATGGATTTCACATCCACCGCAGGTGAATCATAGCCACCGCGATTACACACGATGTTGACTATACCAGACGCAGTCGCTTGCAAGATGATGCGGCTTCTATGAGACTCAGCCATGACAGTCTAACTCAAAGTTGATTTGTCTCTTTACAGCTTCGAGCGCAGAGAGACGACATATGATTGGGGACACCGCCTTGTCCAAAAGTACCTGGCGAGTGCGGACTAGTCTACCATCCTGCAGGTAGTCGTCGCGTTGTCAGTGAAAGCTAACACCCGTCACCTGTTGTTTCATTAACGCATAGTCGGGTCACGGTCTAGCTTTCTGTCACTACCTCAAGCACGAGCTCCATTCACGCCTGGTCTGAGCGTTTAGTGGAGTTTTACACGCCTGTTCCATATAAACACCCCCTTTTGGTGAGCAACTCTTACTACACGAGCTCTCTCCTCAACTTTCATAAGGGCAGATCTGAGCAATACTTTTATTCCCACCCATACGGAGCAACTGGTTTGTTTCACACTCAACTCACTTATTTCAGAACCCTTTGTTCATAGTCCTGCCGCAACTCAACCAGGCCCAGCTGCACAGTAACAAAAGTCGAAAGCTTTCAGCCAGTCACATACGCAGTTAACAAGATGTCTGCTATTGACACTACCCCTGATGCATCTGGTGCGGTCACCGTTGACAGCACTAACACCAACACTCCTGTTGACGCCAAACAAGAAGCTCTCCAGAAGAAAGCCGCCGAGAGCGAGGCCAAACGCATTGAGAATCTTGCGATCCAGCGGAAGAAGCTCGAAGCCGCTAAGCAGAAGGCCGCGCAAGAGTTGGCATCCAAGGGCAAGAACGCAGTGCTCAAAACCCAGCCTAGCCGACCTACACGACGACCTGTGAAGAAGAACCGGAAACCGCTTCTACCTCCTGCCAACCGGACTCACGAGATTGAAGCGACTATTGAGAAGACGAAAGCTAGCGCTGAAGAGAAACGTCTTGCCCCTCTGCGGATTGTACGCCCAAGCTACAGCTACAGCGACATCGTCGAGCAGCGCGTCGTAGACGGTGTAGTTGAGCGCATTGTGCATACCAACCATCCTGCGCATGAGTCTTGTGTCGCCCACAACCACGACGATGGTATCGAGCAGCGCATGGCAGACGGCGTCACTGAGTCTACCTTACAGTCCGCTGATGCGCCCGAGACTGTTCAGTCTGACACCGACGTTGAGTCAGATAGGGCCACGGAACCCTATACTGAGTCAGACGAAGACGCTCCTCAGCTAGTACAAGAGCTTGCCTCTCCAGAGCAGGTCACTGTCCTTGAAGACGACGACGACTTTGCCGAAGCTTCCAGTGTTACTACACTACCCCAGATCTACATCACTGCTCCGATAGGTGATGCGGATGAGGAGCCTTCGATGACTGAAGATCTGGCTGAGGCAGTCGACACGTCGTCCGAGCCGACCAAGGTGACTGGCGCTGAAAAGTCGACCTGTAGCCCTTCGGCGATCCTGTCGATGCCCAACTCGGCTCTTTACCCTTCGCGCCTATCCCGCGACGAAGAGGCTAAGTTGGTCGCCATGCACGTTACTCCCATTGTACTGCCGGTCGCTGAAGCCAAGCAGCAGAAGCTTAGCAAGGCTCAGAAGAAGGCCGCTAAGACATCTGAGGCATCTAAGGAGGTGGCCACGACGAAGTCCGATGTGGTTCAAAAGCTTCCCGAAACCGGCTATGCCCAAATTACCTTTGATGATACAGAGCCCAGTGTAATCCCGGATGAGTCTGATCACGTTGCTATACTGCTTGCCAGGCCCAATGGCTCTGGTGTGACCACAGAATCTCGCAACCTTCACGAGAAGCTCGTCGCGCTTCATGTCGCTCCACCTTCGCTGCCAGTCACTTCTCACAAGCAGCAGAAGACTCCAACAGCCAAGTCAAAAGCTACTAAAGCTGATCAGAAGAAGACTGTCACTGTTGAGAAAAAAGAGCAGAAATTTGTCGCTTCTTTTCTTTCCAAGCCTAACGGCCCAGGCGAGACCAAGGAGGCGCGCGGCTTTCATGAGAAGCTGGTTGCGCTTCATACCACTCTTGTCTCGCTGCCGGTCACTGCGCCCAAGCAGCAAAAGGCCTCAAAGAAGGACCAGAAGGCTACTAAAGCTGAAAAGAAGAAGATTGTCGCTACTGAGAAGAAAGAGCCTGACTTTATCGCCTCTCTACTCTGCAAGCCCAACGGTTCGGGTGAGACCAAAGAAACTCGCGACTTTCACAACAATCTTGTGGCTATGCATGTAGCGCCACTCGAAGTTTCGGTATCCATACGACAGAATAAGGATAAGAAAGCTGAGAAGGCCAACAGGTATATTGAGACTTGGACCGCTGACCCCGATGCCGTTGATGCAATGTTCATCAGCATGGTGCCTCCCATTACCGAGGAGCCTATCTCTGCTGTCGAGGAGCTGAGTACAGACGATGCAACGCGCGACGAGCCGTCTGTCGTCATTGCGACTCCTAACCAGGGGTTCTGGCAAACTGTTCTTTCCAAAACACCTGCCAACGAAGCCACCACCGTCGAGCAAACGGTAATCATCCCGGACTCCGCCCCAACCACCACTCCTCCCACCTCCTCCTACGACGACTCATCCTCGGAGTCCGACACCATCAAGTCATACAGCTCCAGCCACTCCACCCCATCCATCCGCCGCGCAGCCTCAAAAGCACGCACAACCTTTCTCGGCGCCACCTCCCTAGAAACCTTCATCACCACCCTCGACTTCGAACTCTGGGACGGCACAACGACCAAAGACGACATTTGCGAGGCCTTCGCTTCCTTAGCCGGTCACCCCACAACCACAACAACTAGTCTGAATACCGCTAAGATCCAGCGGAAGATCAAGTTGGGTAGTACTTCACTATACGCGTTCCTGCGTCAGATCACGTTCATGGAGGATGAGGTGACGGTTGTGGGGGAGGTGATGAGGGTGTTTAGGAAGGCAGCGAGGAGTCAGGTGACGGAGACGAAACTGGAGGTTGCGCTGTGGCTTGCGGAGGAGACGGATGAGGGCAGTCAGCGAGGCAGGCGGTCAAAGCGGGCTTCGATGGCTGGTGGGGTCTAGGTGTGATGTTGTGGAGGTGGCTTGGATGCTCGCGATATGGGCGTGGGCTATTTGGCTGCTCCTTTCCTTTTCCTACCAAAAGTCATGCACGGGTGTTTTTCATTGTTATTGTCATTGTTATGGGGCAGGTTATCATGGTTTGAACGAGCGAGGCGTTGGGGACGACGTTTTCATATTACTATCATCGCTCTAGGGTACCGAGGCTAGTCCTCCACATCGGTTGAGCTTTAGGCTTTGACTCACCTGGCGCCGGGTTTGAGTTGGCTTGTCGCTCCCTACTGTGGATATTCGCTTAGCTATCCCAAGAGGCTGATGATCTTTCGGTCGAAGTTAGGCTTTGTTTTAGGAAACATAGGTATCAATTCGACTGTAAAAGTTTGCATGTCTGATGGAAGTAGGGTGTAACCAATGCGATCGTAAATGTGGCAGTTGTAACCTGTTGGTATATTAAGAGATTGTTAGACGTGGACATGCATGAGAAAAGGTTCTTTGTGTTCATAACTTCATTCATATACATCCAGCAACACTATTGATGTGTGCGATGCTATATACAGGGTATTCATACGACTGCCTCAGTGGCCTAGACCTTCTGCTCCACGCGGTGGGTCTGCTGCTCAGCGCCACCAGCATTCTCCATCTGGTACTCAACAGCCTTCTCACCCGACTCATCCATAATCTCAGCCATGCCACCAGAACCCTTTGTAAGCTCGGCACCCTTGCGACCAATAAGGTGCCAAGGAAGGTTGAACATCTCGTCGAGAGATTCGAGCGACTTTCCAGAAGTCTCAGGCAGGAAGAAGTACACCCAGACGAGACCGACGGCGGTGACGCAGGAGAAGAACAGCATAGTGCCTCCGTGGGTCATGGAAATGAACATGAGAGGTACAGCCTTGGAGTTACCGTACTGGTTGACAAAGTGGAATGTCATGGCGATGGAACCACCGAGAGCACGGAGACGGAGAGGGTAGATCTCGGAGTTGATGAGGTACTGGATCGAGTTCCATCCGAGCGCCCAACCGAAACCGGAGAAGTAGATCATGACGATGGCGCCCATGGCAGCGTGCTTTTGGCTGGAGCTCTGGGGTACGCCATCGGCAACACCGGTGTCGATGAGTAGGAAGATGGCCATGTAGAGCATGGATAGGAGTTGGAGTGTGATACCGGTGGCGAGAGAGCGCTTGCGGCCGAGGAAGTCGATCAGGAAGAAGGCGCAGATCATGGAACTGACAAACTTGACAACACCGAAGATGGCTGTGGCGAAGAGCTTCTCTTGTTGACCGCTGGTGCCCATCATCTCAAAGTACTTGGGAGCGTAGATTGTGATAGAGTTGGCGCCCGACCATTGCGATAGCAGCTGGGACAAGACAGAGAGCTGAAGGCGGTAGAGATTGGCCTTGCTGGAGAAGAGCTCACGGATGGGTCCGAGCCAAGATGTACCCATAGTGGCTTCGCGTTCGCGGTTGAGCTGGTCGTTAATGTCCATAATCTCCGAGGTAACGTAAGGGTGGTCAGCGGGGAGGTTGCGGAGTTGTGCGAGGTTGTCGAGCGCCTCCTCGTGGCGGCCGACCTTGATCAACCAACGGGAACTCTCCTTGGCGAACCAAGAGAGGGTGAAGATGAGACCGGCGAACATGATGTGCATGCTGTTGGGTACGAGCCATTGAGCATCAGTGGCAGACGAGATGTGGATGGAGGAGCCCCATGATGCGAAGTAGGCAAGCATAATACCGATGTAGACTGATCCAGCGAAAGCGCAGACACAGAGACCACGGATGGCCCGGGGCGCAGTCTCAGCCAGGTAGGTAGGTGCGACGACGGTGGTCTGTCCGATGCCGATACCAGCAATGAAGCGGCCGGCGTAGATTTGTCCAACAGATCCAGTGATAGAGCTGGTGAGGAAGATGACGATGCCGATAACCCAGACAATGCAAAGTTGGCGAGTAGCCCAGAGACGACCAATCTTGTCGGTGATGAAGAAGGCAATCAGGGAACCCAAGATGGAACCCATCTGTACCATGGATGTGATGTTCGATAGGAGCTCCGCGATCTCGTGCTCGCTCTTGCTGCCGTCTTCTTCGAGTCCGAACTTGCGTTTGAAGGGGTCGAGTTCGGCTGTAGTACCGATGAGGCCTTCGTCGATACCACGAGCAGCGCCCATGAGACCGAAGACTAGGACGAGTTAGTTGGGTAGAGTCTAATAGGAGGTGAGATAACTTACCGAAGACACCATACCAGAGACGCCAGTTAAGGCTCTCCTTGGGAGTGTGCTTCAAGTTCTCCTTCCATGGGTTCCAAACGACCATGATGGGCGATATTGGTATAGGTAGATCGAAGTAAGGTCGTGATTGAGCTGCGGAACCTACGTCTGTCGGACAGGGAGGAAAGGCAGTGACGACTCAATCGTACAAAGGCGCATGTGCCTCTTATACTTGAACTGATGGTGGGGTACGAGATGCGGAGATCCTAGATGCAAGGCCTGTTAAATCACACCATCCATGAGACCCCAGAGTCAACCCCGGAAGCCTCTACTCCACGTTTGTCCATCGCCAGTAGCGGTCGGCGTCGGTCTTCCGAGCCAGGAATGCCGGATGACCTTCCCAACTGTGGTTTTCCCAACGTTCAATAGGTCGACCCGTCTCGTCGGCCATTGCAGGCGTTGAAACTAACCCTTGCGCAGTAAGCGGACCGCTGATCGTCTGATCAATTACCGATCAAGCGGCCACGCCGGTCGCCTCTCGTGTCTCTCACGGCAGCGCCATCTGCACGTAGGTTACATGCCCAGTAAGGAGGCGGAAAGGTTGGCAGGCTTAGGTGGAGAAAGCTTCCTTGTTCGTGCGTCTTGTGGAGCTTGGGGCCGAGCTAAGGACGAGTCAAGAACCTGGCCACCACACGATGGGAACCCCGCATTATCCCCCAAACGCTCTCGTGTCCCGGATTTCTCTTGGTCTCCCACGTTAGCTGTCAGTCGAGGAAGAGAAGCTTGTCAAGCTCCTCGTAGCGGCCGGGGAGGTGCCGTAAATGCATGCCGCGCTATTGGCTGGTACCATCCCGGGAAAATCTCGCACGCGGGATAAATTACTACGCTATTCTGACGCTGCCTCGCGACGAGACCGTTCGCCGGCAGAATTATGACCGAGAGGAGCGTCGGAGCAGGGTGTCGGCTTCTGAGGTCAAGCTCCTGGACGAGACCTCGTCTCGCGGCGGTGTGTCGACATAAGCGATGCGGCTCCAACTCCTTCAGCCTTTTCCAGTAGCGCCCGCGTTGTGACTACCCCAAATGGTATCCCGTCCCTCCAATGCATATGCCGTGTGGACTACACTATCGGACATAGATACGGCGCCTGCAGGATATTCTGGTAGAGCTAACGGTGCGCAGGTGTGAGAATGTGTCGCTTCTTCGGTCGCTCTGGCGCTGATACGAGTCCTGGTTGTCGGAGCCTCTGATGGGTCGTAGGACAATGATCCGACTCTTGGCTCTGTACTTGGCTCTGTACCCCAAAGTCCAGCAGGAAGGTTGTATTCTGCCGTAGTGGCAGCTGGATCGTTGAACCCACAACGGCAAGCACAACATCTCCAAGCGCTTTGTTGTCTTGACGAAAGCCCAGACCGCGGGGGTTCTTCTTGTCTCCACAGAGCTTTGCATTCGCAGTGCATCGTGTCATGCGATGCGAAGAAACAGACAGGTCTAGAGGTGTGATACGTCCACCACCCCCGGTCGGAGCTCCGAGGGTTATCGGTGCGAACGCAGGCGCTTTGACTTGGGGTCTCCACACACACGAGGTGCGCGTGAGATGGTTAGCGAAGACCAAGATTGCCATGCCTTCACCAAGTGCTTGTGAACAGCGCAAGCCGTTGTGCCAAAGGACGCCCAAGTGCTTGTCCTAGACGTCAACAGAGCAACATTCTTGCTACATCGTCTTTCTCGTAGGCATCATCGAAGTCATGTCCTCTCCTCTTAAGCGCTGCGATAAATTTGAGAATCATGCGGGCATCCTTCTGGTCCACAGCGGGCGAGATTGATCGGCTGGTCGGCGATGCCAGTGGGTCTAATCCTTCCTCTTATGCATCGTGTATACAAACGGCTACCGTCGAAGCCACAAGGATCCAAGTGTCGGTGATTGCCGTGCATGAGACATCTACTGAGGTGGTGTTGTGTTCAATCCCCGTTGCCGGCTAGGTCGCCCTCAACAGACATTGGCTTTCGTTCAACACATCTATCCAGACATCGTGTGCGTATGTCCGCGGGCGGAGGTGTTGAATAATCGGGTGGATACGGACGCTGACAAACGCCTCTGAACTGATTAGCCGCCTTGGAAAGCATATGGGGTGGAAAGCACGCACTTACGAGCTCATTGTGGGTATCAACCAAGACGGACCAAGGCGCCAATGTTGGGGATAAGACCCATTTATACGTCTTAGAAATACAACAACTGATTCAAGCCGTGCGGAGAAATGAGACCCGGGGTACGAGGTTCACATGTCACTTTGACTGGACGCCTGAGGGGTCCAGTACGGTTATCCGGAACTAGTTGTGGGGAGAGTGTGACTGAACGTTAGATCTGGGGTGATGGGAGAATGTCGGTGTGTTGGCGGCAAATGAGATGGCGAGATGTCTGTAGGCGGCAGTTAAGCGATGAAGCACGTGTTAGCATTGTGCCCTGGCCCTGAGGGAAGTGTCGACCAGGGAGTAGGCGCGATAGAGTGAAGGACAATCTAAGGCAGGTGCGATAAGACTACGGCTGCGCAACAGTGCGCAATTATCAGCACATCGTGCCTTCGATTCAGAATTTGGATACTTGTAGTTTTTTTTTCTATGCCTAAGCTGCCTAGGCATCGGATCAACTGCAACATCATTGACAAGGCGATAGTGTGCCGTGATGTCGACATCGTGCCCGGATTCCCGGAAAAGGCAACCGCGGACCCTCTGTGCCGAGCTCGCTCAATCCTCCTCAGAGTCCCCCTCAGCATCCTCTTCCTCCCCCACAAACCTAGCCCGCTTA